GTTATGAAGTTAAACACTCAAAAGGAAAACTAAAAATAATCCTATTTTTTTCGCTATTGCAAAGCCCCTTGAAGATTTTAATGCTGGTATAATGATTTTGACATTTCGTTGCCTTCTTATACTACAAAGAAATACCGAATAGGGGTCAACTTTTTTTTCGGAGTTCCATATATGTTATGTGCGCCAACACATCGTTCAAATACCATATCTACTACAGCGGTGGCGATAGAGCAGAACACGGAGTTGGCTTCGTAGTGATTGGGAAACAGATGAAGCGGGTTATGCGGTGGTAACCGGTTAGCGAGCGCATCGGCGTTTTGAGGATTCGTGGCAAATTCTTCAATTACAGCCTGATCAACATCTACGCACCGACTAACGATAAATCCGATGACGTGAAGGACGCGTTTTATGAAAGCCTGGATAAAACCTATGATGAGTGCCCTAAACACGACGTGAAGATTGTCATCGGAGATGCAAACGCGCAGGTCGGAAGAGAGGAATTCTTTCGCCCAATCATTGGAACAGAGAGCCTTCACTCTGCAACGAATGACAATGGCCTGAAGCTGATAAACTTCGCTGCTGCTCGTGATATGGCCACTTTGCACGCAAGGATATCCGAAAGCACACCTGGAGACACCCTAATGGCGAAACTTGCTCCCAGATCGACCACGTGTTGGTGGGTGGTCGGCATTTCTCGGATGTCGTAGATGTCAGAACCTTCAGGGGTCCTAATATCGACTCGGATCACTACCTCGTTGTCGCGAAAATTCGAGCGCGTCTATCGACCGTTACGAGTTCGAGAAACCGGAGATCGATGCGTTTCAACATCCAGCGTTTGACAGTAGATGGTGTTGCTGCAGAGTACCACCAGAAGCTGAATGAGCGGATAGTGGAAATCAACGTGAACGAGAATCTCAACAATCTGTGGGAAGCTGTCCACGGAGCGGTGAGCACAACAGCACGAGAGGTGATAGGTACAGCTCAGAGGCGCCCCCGGAACGGGTGGTTTGACGAGGAGTGCCAGCGAGTGACAGAGGAGAAGAACGTCGCCAGAAGCCGCATGTTGGTGTCTGGTACCCGTCAGAACAGAGAGCGGTACAGGGTAGCAAGGTCAGCCGAGAAACGAACCCATCGCAGAAAAAAGGCAGTAAAGGGTGATACGGTCAAAATTTGGTCAATATCAACTTGACGTATTTCTTTCAATTTTGCATTTAAAAAACCTGAACACCCCTCATTTTGAAGGTGTGTGTGTGTAGAATGTTGCTCCTATTTTGATTTTGGAATTCACTCTTCAGTTGTCAAAATGCCGTCCAAGCAAGAAGAGCAGCGTATCAAAATTTTGCTCGCGCATCGCGAAAATCCGAGCTACTCGCACGCAAAGTTGGCAAAATCGCTAAAAGTTGCCAAATCAACCGTTACAAATGTAATTAAAGTGTTTAGGGAACGTTTGTCGACAGCCAGGAAGTCTGGATCGGGGGGAAATCGAAAACCGGAAGCCGCTGAGACGACAAAGAGAGTTGCCGGTAGTTTCAAGCGAAACCCTAACCTCTCTCTCCGAGATGCCGCAAATAAGCTGGGTGTATCGTCTGCAACCGTGCATCGAGCCAAAAAACGAGCCGGACTATCGACTTACAAGAAGGTAGTGACTCCAAATCGCGATGATAAACAAAATACGACGGCCAAAGCGCGATCCCGGAGGCTGTACACGACGATGCTGACGAAGTTTGACTGCGTGGTAATGGACGACGAAACCTACGTCAAAGCCGACTACAAGCAGCTTCCGGGACAGGAGTTTTATACGGCAAAAGGAAGGGGAAAGGTAGCAGATGTTTTCAAGCACATGAAACTGTCAAAGTTCGCAAAGAAATATCTGGTTTGGCAAGCCATCTGTACCTGTGGCTTGAAAAGCAGCATTTTCATAGCTTCCGGGACTGTCAACCAAGAAATTTACGTGAAAGAGTGTTTGAATAAACGTCTGCTGCCTTTCCTGAAGAAACACGGTTGTTCCGTACTGTTTTGGCCGGATTTGGCATCTTGCCATTACGGTAAAAAGGCCATGGAGTGGTACGCCGCCAACAACGTGCAGGTGATTCCCAAGGACAAGAACCCTCCCAACACGCCAGAGCTCCGCCCAATTGAGAAATACTGGGCTATTGTCAAGCGGAACCTAAAGAAGACCAAAAAAACTGCTAAGGGCGAGCAGCAGTTCAAGGCAAACTGGCTTTCTGCGGCGAAGAAGGTGGACAAGGTGGCTGTACAAAATCTGATGGCAGGGGTCAAGCGTAAGGCCCGGCAATTCGGATTTGGAAAAGCGGAAGCCTAACTGAATATTTTTCCTGAATTTTATACTAATTGAACTTGAAAAAGAAATTTAATTTGATTTTTTAAATAAACGATTTCACCGATTTACACGCGTTTTCCATTGACCAAATTTTGACCGTATCACCCTTTACGAGGAACGTGTTATTCCTGAGGTGCAAGAAAGTATGGAGCAGAATGATATGCGAAGGTTTTACGCAACTGTCAATGGCGTGAGGAGTAAGACACCGCCGTCTCCCGCCATGTGCAATGACCGTGAAGGTAATCTGCTGACAGATAAAACGATGGTGGCTGCCAGGTGGAAGGAGTACTTCGAGACGTTGCTGAACGGAGAGAACGAGAGAGCATCTACAAACAGAACACACATCGACGACGATGGTCAAGCTGTGGAACCACCAACGCTAGAAGAGGTGAAAAAGGCGATACGAGAGCTGAAAAACAGTAAGGCTGCGGGGAAGGACGAGCTCCCGGCCGAACTTCTCAAACACGGAAGTGAGCAGCTGCACCAGATGATCCACCGTATACTGCTCAAGATATGGGAGGAGGAAGAATTGCCCGCTAGTTGTCTCGTTTGTCCCCTCTACAAAAAGGGACGCAGACTGGAGTGCGCCAATTACAGAGGAATCACGCTTCTGTTCAACAGATTGAGACCGCTTGAGGAATCCTTCGTCGGCGAATACCAGGCTGGTTTTCGTGAGGGTCGATCAACGACGGATCAAATGTTTACCCCGCGTCAAACCCTTGAGAAGTTCCGGGAATACAACTTGCAGACTCATCATCTGTTCGTAGATTTCAAGGCTGCGTACGATTCAGTAAAGAGAAACGAGCTATGGCAGATAATGCAAGAAAACGGTTTTCCGACGAAACTAATTAGGCTGATTCGTGCAACGCTGGATGGTTCGAAATCATGTGTACGGTTTGCAGACGAGCTTTCGGCCTCGTTCGTGACCTTAGATGGGTTGAAGCAGGGAGGTGCTCTTTCGAACTTGCTATTCAACATCGCCCTCGAAGGAGCGATTAGGAGAGCTGGCGTGCAGAGGAACGGTACCATCATCACAAAGTCGCACATGCTCCTTGGTTTTGCGGACGACATCGACATCATCGGAATCGACCGTAGAGCAGTGGAAGAGGCGTTCGCGCCTTTTAAGAGGGAGACAGCGAGGATTGGTCTCACGATAAATTCTATCAAAACGAAGTACATGGTCGCCCGTAGAAAGCGTGGGAGCAATAGTGGTGTTGGTAGTGAAGTGGTTCTAGATGGCGAAAAATTTGAAGTTGTGGACGAATTTGTTTATCTTGGTACTTTAGTGACGTGCGATAATGATGTTACCCGCGAGGTGAAAAGGCGTATTGCAGCCTCGAACAGGGCTTTCTACGGGTTGCGTAGCCAGCTGAAGTCCCGCAGCTTGCGTACGAAAACGAAATTCGCGCTGTACAAGACGTTGATTCTGCCGGTAGCCCTTTATGGCCACGAATCGTGGGCATTGAAAGAGGCCGATCGGAGCTGCGGGCTGCGAACAATACTCGGCGGTAAACTGGAAAATGGCATCTGGCGGCGTCGCATGAATCACGAGTTGTACCAAGTATATAACGGCATGGATATTGTGAAGCTTATCAAACACGGCAGGCTACAGTGGGCTGGGCATGTGGCACGAATGCCGGAAGAGCGTCAAGCGAAGTCAATATTCAGCAGGGAACCCGGAAGAGGACGTCGGCTTCGGGGTAGGCCACGCACGCGTTGGCTTTGTGCAGTTGAGGAGGACATTAGGCGACAAGGCGACTGGAAGCGATTGGCTCAGGACCGAGACCAATGAAGACGGTTACTTCGTTCGGCGCAGATTTGAATTCAACGAGTCGTCGCCCATCAGTATGCTCTTTTTCGATTTAGGTTTTCCCGGTTTTTTATCAGTAAATCCGAATAACCGGTTTTCCCGTTTGGATGACACAAACAGCAAGGGCATTAGAGGAACAATTTCAAGGGAAATTCTCGGGTGGAATTCAAGGGGGTATTTTCTGAATTCTAGAGAGTTCTACCAAGAGATTTTTGAGATAAATATTCCATGAGAATTTAAAAGAAAATTGTGGAGCGAAATTAAAGCAAGTTCTCGCGAGAATTATTTTGAATATGAAGATAAATGTAGAGAGAAATATTTAAACGCAGAAAACCACGAGAAAGTCAAAAATGGTTATCCTAAAAAGTCAATATGAAAGTGGATGAGAGTGGGCTATTACTAGATATTCAAGTGATTTACATAGATTGCAGTTCGATATTAATAAAAGTCGACAAGACTCTCTACGCAAGATTCCCAATTATGGCACAATTATTCGTTAGATATTCAATGTCAAGATTCATCATCGCAAATGCAAATTCGCTCCCATGCCTTCACCGCGTGCCACACATAACGGGACGTAGTATATCTCGATGCAACCATACCGACGGCAGTTGTTAAATTCAATTGAAAATTCAGCTGCACACCTATCGATCTAAGCGTAAATATAGATACTCAACCTACTACAAAATACACATCTGTCTCGGTATCTGTCCCCTACTGAGCTGCGCTGCGAGTGTTGTTGGTGTGAACCGCGGCCACGACGAGATAACATTCAATACAACACACATAGCAGTGCAGAGTAGGAAAGCAAACACGTCTCTCCGGACCCCTCCAGCAACGACGACGACAACGACGACGGTGACGGTCTCCCCGACATCAGTCGCAATTAAGTCATCAGTGGAATTAGTAGTTTCTTGTTTTCGCTTCCCGATACTCAGTGCTTGCTATTTATTATAACGAAAAATTTGCAGTGCTCGGTCCCGGGTCGTCGCCGGAATGTCTCGCGAGTTGGAATTCGAAGAGCTGCTCTACTACGTGGTGGAGCTCAAGGACAAACTCAACACCAAACTGGACGCCCAGACGGTCAAGATAAATCACCAGGGCTCGATCATAAATCAGCAGGGCCAAATCGTCGACGAGCTTTGCTGGCAGTTGCGGGAGCTTAGCGAAAAAGTTCGTGACCTGCGTGCCGAAAATCGTCGCCTCCGGGAACGGGTGGACCAGTTCTGTCCGAACTGTGCCGGATGCCACTGCACTGTCACCACCTACGAGAACCACATCGTAGACAAGTACAACGAGCTGCTAGGGGTGGACAAAAAGACGAAACCATCATCTATTTCCCCGCCTGCTCTGGTGCCGAGCAGCGATGAAAGTGACAAACGTGTGAAAACGAACACAGAAGGCCATGACCAACAACAACAACAAGAAAATAGGCAGACAAACCAGAAAATCGATGAGTACTCTCAAGTAGTGAAGAAACATGATACAAGCGGGAGCACCAAAAAGAAGTGGCTTTTCGGGGGTACATCGGACAAGAAGGAACCCGTGGCCACGACGTCAGTGATGTCGACCGATAGCAAAACAATTTGGTACATTGACGAAGAAAGCATCTACGAACCGATAGAGCTGTCCGCTAAGCCGACAACCCGCGCCCAGTTGGAGAAGATTAGCGCCGAGGTTTCGAGTGCTCCCAGACCGGCACCCCGGCGGTTGTACTCGGCCCAGGCGGTGGACAATTTGGCACACTACTTCCAGGATGGGTCCAGCTTGTGTGAAATTGAAGAATTCGATGAAGAGTCCGGGGACGAGGACCGCGGCAGCGATGTTATGCTGCGACCCACCCAAGTGAAGCAGTTTGGTCCGGATTCGGCGAGAGGCAGCAGCATGGTGGCTTACAGCCGGATTGCGGTAAGTTCGGTTCGGTTCTGATGATGAGTCATGGCACGGCTACGTTTCGTCGATACGCGTGAGTCGATTCGGTGGCTTTGCGAATTGGGGGAGATAAGGACAACATGATGACTAAAGTGAAGGTAGTGTAAGGTGGGGCCACATGGGTCATCTACGTCTGTTTTTTTTCGAATGTCAAAATGAACAGGGGCAATGTACCGTAGAGTGCCATAATTCGGCGCACCTAAGGCCTGATTCCACGCAGTTTTGAAATTTTTTAGATACAATTGTACTTTGCGGTAGCCCTCGTTGGTGGTTTGAAAAACAAACCATCATTGGGGTTGCATTGAACCTGTTGATTTAGACAAGCAAATAAAATAACAAATGTTGACCCATCTTGCCTATAGTCGCTATATTCATAGTCTGGCGGATAGAATCTCGCGAACCAATTGAGCTGTCAAATAGCGGAACCAATCGAGCATATCACGACCAACAACAGAAAAGAGCACATCAGCTATTGCGAACAACATTTCGGAAACCGTTTTCTCGTGATTCAAGGCTCGCCTACGCAAACTAACACTATCTTTGTGTTTGAGAAAGATTTCTCTATCCGATGATGCCGGTAATTTGCGTTCGATTGTCGAGGAAAGAATAATCACCGTTTTGTTTATAAAAGTTAATAGGACCTTTTCAATTGTTGGTTTACAATATTTTGAATTGATTCCGCTTTTTGAAAGATCGAAATTCTATCCGCCAGACTATGAATATAGCGACTATAATCTTGCCCCGTCACCCATCTAGCCCTACCATACTCCATGTTTGTGTTTGTAGTAGTAGACTGATAATGGATTCTTGGAATTTGAGGAACTCATCGCAGAAGCTATGATTGTTGTGCAAATTGAAAGCCGAATGTGGTTTACAAACATTGGATACTGTTTACAAAACATAGGACTATTCAAACGGGGCAGGCAGAATCTCAATATGCAATGCAATTTGTGCACTGAATTGAGTTGTTTGCATGTACACTTTGAACAATCAAATTATATTCAGAGATCGAAAATTTAAACGTGCCATTGTGGGATTCAACAATTCCCATCACGTATCAGAAGCTCTTTACAGGAGCTCTGGAAAATCATTAAGAGACTCGGCTATCCCTTTCAGGGATTCAGCAACCTCTTTTTGAGGATTCAACGATTCCAGCACTCCCTTACAGGGGTGCCAGTTGTGTTTTTAGCAAAAGTGTTCAACGAGATCCATAAAATGTCTTCACCGTTAGTTTCATATCTGTTCAGCGAGGGTTATATAATTTAAAAAAAAAAGCATTTTGGTTCACATGGTTCCGGAGTTATTCCGGTTTCCGTTGGGGTCATTCTGGGAAGGCATTCGGCTTTCCTGTTCTGTAATAATTATACACACAGTGAACGTAATATTTTCTCACTCAAATGATATAATTGGACCAATGGCAGCTATACTAATGGTCCGCATGATCACATTGAGCATCTCGGAAAAGTTTCGGTGACCTCGAGGAAGTGGCCAATTCTCAAGAAGAACTAAAACCCGTCATGCGACACATCTAACTTCATGATTTTACAAAACCTGGCCGGTAATGGCTTTATCGTCTTATTGCCATTATTATTTTTATGCTAAAAACTCAAATATCTCAAAATGCTCTTAACCGATTTTTGAAATTTATTTAAACAATGCAAACTTTTGTAATGTTCAAAACTACGGACCCTTAGAATTTTGCCCGGAATTCCCTGGAAACTCTCCTCTGAATTTTGTATGGAATTTACCTCAAAATTGTTATTGAATTATTTATAGAAATCCCTTTTAATCAGGTGCCAACTAAGAGGAGGATTTGGATTTCCATTTAAAGTATAATTAAAAAGTGGGTTTTGCCCCCAACCAGGGCCTAACAAAGTCATTTTCAATCGAAAATCGTCAAGCGACGACGAAGCTGTCAACCATCATTTTCAATTGAAAGTTATTTTGTCTTCTCGTCAACATCAACAGAACCACTTTCGATCAGTTTTCATGCTGTTTGTTTTGGCTTGCCTCGTGTTCATTTCTAGACCAACAATTGAAATAGGCGGAACAACCAAACGTAAACAATGACTTTAAACGCAAATTCCTCGAGAATCAAACCACTCCCACGCAAACTAACCATGCCATTCAATAAAGCAAGTTTGTTCTATCAGATGGTGGTGTTAGATTGCTTCGATGTGTTTTGATTATCGAGGAGTTTGCATTTAATGCCATTGTTGGTTGTTCAATTGTTGGTCTAGATTTCGTCTTTCATAGTCAAATGAACTTACTTTCGCATTGAAGCAAAGCTGTTCAATCCGAGTTCGCGCAGTTTTCTGACTTTTGTTGATGGTTCACTCGGTTCATTTAAGCTTCCTAGTGCAAAGCTGTATCTTTGCAACGAACTATGAAAGAGATCTGAAATTTGCTCACTTTTCCTAACTGCTGTCAAAAGAAGCTTTCAGCGAACTCTGGGAGTGGCGGTACAAAAAAAAAAGTGACACATTATGCATTTGGGTCTAAAAAGACCCAGACTGCAACTGGTTCCCAAAAATCCATTTTTGAACCGATTCTTGATCAATTGACCTCACAAGAAAGATAAGAGTTCCTAGAATGGCATCAAGCTCAAGATTATTTTTTTTTCAATTTTGCCATTTACGATACCTGTCGCCTATTCCGATAAGGCACAAATGGACACATCCAAAACCTCATGTACTGGTACCGTCCGACGGCTCAAAACATATGATTTTTCATCCAGAAGTAAATAGACATCATGTCATGAACCGTAACGTGAATCTGGCCATATCCGGATACCCGGCACAAGTTCTGGAAGGGGGCCCAAACAAGGACACTTCCTAACTCTCATGCAGTGGTATCGTCCGACGGCTCAAAATTTATGATTTTTCATTCAGAATTCAGTGCCAACATTTCAAAGGGGCGTATTTGCTTTTGTAAACAATGACTTTAGCCATCAATTTCTCGTGAATGAAATCTTACCTCTCCAAAATGACAATGCTAACTGGTAGAGGAAACATTTCTCTACCTGCTGGTGTCATTATTTTTCATGAGTGAGCTTTTATTCACGAGAAATCGACGGCTAAAGCCATTGTTTACAAATGCAATTACGCCCCTTTGAAATGTTGGCACTGAATTGTCCTTTTTGGGGCCCTACCGGAACCGACCAGATCCACCTTTCGGTCTATGGCATGATGTCTATTTACTCCTGGATGGAAAATCATAAGCTTTCAGCCGTCGGACGGTACCAGTAGGTACATGAGGTTCTGGAAGTATCCTTCTTGAAGCCCTGCCGGAACCGGTTCCGGATATCCAGGTGTGGTCAGAACTGCCTGTTGGTCCATGGCATAATGTATTTTTGTTTCTGGATGAAAATTCATAAATTTTGAGCCGTCGGACGGTACATAAGGATTAGGAAGATTCCTGTTTAGGACCTTCCGAAACTGGTTCTGATTATCCGGATGTGACCAAATCCTCCTGTTGGTCCATGGCATGATATTTACTTCTGGATGAAAATCAAAAATTTTGAGCCGTCGAACAATACCAGTTTAGGGGTTTGGGAGATTTTTTATTTTTGAGCCCTACCAGAACCGGTTGTGATGTCTATTTACTTCTGGATGAAAAATCATAAATTTTGAGCCGTCGGACGGTACCAGTACATGACGTTTTGGAAGTGTCCATTTGGGCCAATAGACCAAGAATCGGTTCAAAAGAGGATTTTTGGGAGCGAGTTGCAGTTTGGTTCTTTTTTAACTCGCTAATGCATAATGTGTAACACTTTAACTTGCATTAGGAAGGTTAAGTGCATGCGCGTAGATCTGTGCACGTGGATGTCAAATTCATCATTGTCGGGTGGTTTGTTTACCTAGGGGCTGTTCATTAACTACGTAGAGTTTTTTTTAGATTCTTGACCCTCCCCCCATGCGTAGAAAATTGTCCATACAAAGATTTTAAAATTTGTATGGGCCGCGGATAATTGCAAACATTATGATTATGAACAGCCCCCTATCAATATGAGTATTTTTGAAATCGGAGTGACATCTAGAGTTCGGTAATCGATGACCGACGCCATATTGAAATTCAAGATGGCGGCATCCGATTTCAGAAAAAAGTGGGAAATACTGACAGCGACCCATCAATATGGATATTTTTGGAATCAGAATGACGTCTGAAGATCGAAAATCGATATGCGACGCCATTCTACAATCCAAGATGGCGGTTTCCAGTTTAAAGAAAGAGGGAAATACCACCGACAAACCGACATGAATGACCATAGCAAAAACAATCAAATTTCTGACCAAAGCACACTACTGACATCTGGCTCCGTGTTCGTGGGAAATATTCAGCTAAGCTATGAACCCGCATGCAAAAGCAAAATTGGTTCGTTTCTGATCTATTCTGGACAAATTATTTTTATCTAGATCAAAAAATCTTATGGTTTTGACAGTTCGGATCACTGCACATTTAAATCGGCCGTTTACGATTTTCGGTCATAAGTCAGAATTAAGTAAAAAAAATTAGCTTACTTAAATCTTTGGTTTTAATTAGTTAGGTAGGTTCCGATTCAACACATTGTAGTTTCATTTATATACCTGTGATCTTGACTTTTATACCTAGGGGATGAGTACTTAAGGGGGTTAGATTTTGATAAGTTCTTTAGTGGGAATGACACTGATGAAGACTGCACATTGTAGTCGAAATACGTATCTGTCATGGATACCAAAATTAATTAAGTGGAATTAAATGGAAGATAACCTTTTTTGCTGTTTTATTTAGCATTCCGCTAACAACCCAATTTCATTACTTCATTACTTCAGAATTAAGTGTCATGTCGGTTTGTCGGTGGAAATACTGTCAAATACCCATTAATATGTTCCCCCCTATTCTGCGAGTCACGTGACTCTCTCTCACCGGTGAGGTGACAATAGTCACCTCGTGTGAGGTGACTCTCCATTTGATTTGCATAGAGAGTCACCTCACACGAGGTGACAATTGT